TGGATTATGGGCTAGAGCACAAAACTTTCCTTATGGGCAGGGGTGGGGAGGGGTAAGCGGGGATGGTGGAGGTAGTGGTGAGGAATGATTTTTTCCTGAAAAGGGGGAAGCAGGCCAAGTCAGTGCAGGAACCTATTTATATTACAAAGCCTGTTGTTGTTGTCATTGTTGTTAGGTGCCCTCGAGTTGGTTCTGATTATTAGCAACCATAGCACAACAGAACAAAACACTGTCTGATAGGGCTGGCCCCGCCATGAGACATGATGTCCCTCACTGACCCCCATACATAGTGTCATGGGGACAACACTGGAGACACAGTAAGGGAATCGTGCCTGATCTGACCCCACCACAGTGGAGCAAAACACTAAGGGCGTGCAACAGAGCAGTAAGGGGAGCAAAGTGATGAACTCCCCGGGGAACACCAAAAATTGACTTTGGGGCCAGGGCATGGCACCTCATCAGACTTAACTGGAAAACACTCCTGAAAGTCAACAAACAGAGCTGGAACTATTTATAGGCTTTTCTTTTTTTGTCGTTGGTTTTTTGTTGTGATGGTTTTGTTTTCTTTTGTTGTTTTACTCTGTTTTGTTTTTGTGCTTATTATTGTCTCTGCATGTCTAGCTAGATAAGATAGGTGGGATAAACAATCCGGAGGAGAAAACAACGGGACCAACGATTCCTGGGGGGCATGAGAGAGGGGAGGCTGGGAAAAGGAAGAGGGTGTCAACAAACCGAGGGACAAGGGAACAACAAGGGATCTAAAATTGATGGTGAGGTGGCCATAGTCTGCCTGGGGCTTGATCAGGGGCTATGTAGTTGAGAAGAATTACTGAAACCAGAATGAAGGCCAAACATGATAGTGGGACAAGAGGAAAGTAAAAAGAAATAGAGCAAAGGACATTTATAGAGGTCCAAATACAGCCATGTACATCTGTAAATATATTTATATATAACGATAGGGAAATAGATGTATGTACATATATTTATATGTTAAATATCAAGGTAGCAGATGGACATTGGGCCTCTACTCAAGTATTCCCTCAACACAAGAACACTTTGTTCTAATAACCCAGCATTCTGTAATGCTCACCTTCCCAACACGCTCACTGAAGACAAAACGGCTGCATAAGCAAATGTAAAGAAAGCTGATGGTGCCCAGCTATCAAAAGATACAGCATCTGAGTTCTTAAAGGCTTGAAGATAAACAAGCGACCATCTAGTTGAGAAGCAACAAAGCCCACATGGAAGAAGCACACCGGCCTGTGTGATCATGAGGTGTCGATGGTCCCAAAGACCTAGAACAAAAAAATCATATCATTGTGAATGAGGGGGAGTGCAGAGTGGAGACCCAAAGCCCATCTATAGACAATTGGACAACTCCTTACAGAAGGGTCACAAGGAAGAGGCGAGCCAGTCAGGGTACAGTATAGCACCTATGAAACATACAACTTACCCCTAGTTCTTTAATGCTTCCTCCCCCTCACTATCATGACCCCAATTCTACCTTACAAATCCGGCTAGACCAGAGCATGTACACTGGTACAGATCAGAGCTCGCAACACAGGGAATCTAGGAGGGAAGGGGAGGCGGGGCAGAAAGTGGGGACTGATCACAATGCTCTACATATAACCCCCTCCAGGGCGACGGACAAAAAAGAAAGTGGGTGAAGGGAGACAGCGGTTGGTGTAAGACATGAGAAAAACAATTTATAAATGATCAAGGGTTCGTGAGGGAGGGTTGGGGAGGGAATGAGCCGATGCCAAGGCTGAAGTAGAAAGAAAATGTTTTGAAAATTTTATTGGCAACATAAGTACAAATATGCTTGACACAATGGATGAATGTATGGATTGTGATAAGAGCTATAAGAGCCCCCAATAAAATGATTTTTTTTAAAAGAAAAGAAAGATGTGACAAAAACAAAAAAACACTGGTCTTGCACCATCCTCACGATTGTACCTATGCTGCACAATAGATCCCATTGTTGGAGCCACTGTGTCAATCTGGCTGCACAATAGATCCCATTGTTGGAGCCACTGTGTCAATCTGTCTCCTTGAGCACCTTCCTCTTTTCAGATGCCCGTCAGTGTTCTGAGGGGAAAAAACAGCCAAGGGGTAGATTCTGCACTCTCCTTCCCAGAGGTGCCTGCCCTGTAGCCTTTCTAATCGGAGACCTCTTGGCTGTCTTTGGTCACAGTTTCGGGAAGATTCTGGCTGCTGTGTGAGGAGCTCTGAAATTCTCTGGGAGTGTGCAGTAGGTGGGGGTCCGAGTCCTTCAGGGGAGAGGAGAGGCACACAGGACTGTGTCTCGTACCCCGGCATCCTGCGCAGGTTCTGATGGGTGCTGTCTCCCAGACAGGGCCCTTGGGGACTGGGCCTCTCCATGCTCTGGGCTGCTGGCCTCTGTGACAGGCTAGCTGGGTCTCTTGGACAGTAGCTGCTATCTCCATTGACCTGTCATTTTGTTGATGAATATTCCAAATTGGGTAAATAAAAATGAACGTTTGGGTTTGGATGCTAATTTGGCTTTCCATTAGGTTTTGTTTTGAGCATTATAAAAA